TGTAGCTAACATACATTAGGAAACAGTAGATGAAATGCCATGACAATCTTAGTAGAAAGGGGTAAGTTATCATATTTCAGCAGTGATCTTATTGCTAGCACAAAACTAAATGCCAGTACAAAAACAAGGCATTTGGAAATTTACAGTTGATTTTAGGAGAGGGCTGAATAAGGTATTGATCCTAAATGATGATGAGGGTCACATAATAAATATTCCAGCAAAGGTGAGACCTTATGCAAAGATCTTTTCTGTCTTGGATATAGCAAATAGTCTTTCAGCTCCACCACTGAAGGAGATATGTTAATTCAAAACTATTCATGATGAGAGGTAGACAGCTGGAGATGAATAGTGACCACGATCAACCTTCCACAGATATATGGAGACTCTTGAAGACAGCCCACATAATTTGGTAATCCAATGTATTGATGGATTCTAGTATCTATATCACAGGAAGATCCGAAATTAACCAAGCATATCTTGGGGGCAATACATAAAGGGTTGAAGTCAATGGAAAGATATAGCTTGGATCTGACTACAGTGGCCTAGATGAACATTTCCTCAGCAGAAAAGCAATTTATTGGGAAAGGGACAAATGATCAAGTCACTAAGCCAACAAATGAAAAGAGCCTGGTATAAACAAGCTTTTGTAATGGTTGCATTACAGTAAGAAAGGCCAACGCTTGGTCCAATTATCTTAATGAAACACTGGTACAGGGAAGGGATACCAGCTAGCATGGAGAACACTTAAAAAGACAATAGCTTGGGCACCAGCTTTGGCCTTACCAAACACTTGAGAACCTTGTAACCTCTGGCTAATAATAATACCCAATACCATAGCTATCGGTGATATAAGAAAATTTCTTTTGTTAATTAGCTTTCAGAGGCTTCTCTACCCTCAGTATGGTAGCCTGGAAGAGCTAGGGATTCCCAGTGCAGAATACTCTAATTCAGTTACACCACCCACTAACTATTCACAGAGGTAACAGAATTTCTAAGAACAGATCAATAATATGCTCACTATCCAGTCATTACTCTTGTTAAACACCCTACACTTTCTAAATGAATTACTAAGGGCTAAGAAGAGCTATGCACAGAAGATGAGTATCTTAATTTGAGTTCCCTTCTGAAGAAAATGTTGATACAAAGATTCTAATACAAGTAGTTTATTCAGGAGTTGACCTCAGGAAATTCCTACAGGGGAGGAGGGAAGTAATACAAGGAAAATAAAGCAGTTAATAAAGCGTGTTATCAAGACAGCCACCACTGTGGGTGGTTGGAGTTTAATCTGGTGGGTAAACTCTGGGGAATCATATAAATCACATACTTTAGTTACCTTGCTCAAGAGGTAAGAGAGTTGGGGTACTTATACACCAACTCCCATCAGTTTTATTCAGAGCCATTCCCAGAGGTGTTACTTCCTAGCTCTTTCAGCCTGCCATGCAGAGGGTAGAGAAGCCTTCTAGGTCTCTGAAAAAACCTTCAGAAAGAGATAGTGGCAGTTAAAAAATCAGCTGGAGCACACAGAAATAAGGCTGAGGAATCGGAGACAGGATAGTTAGTATTAGCTATGTGTATTTCAACCACAGAAAAATCTTACTCCTTGTCTATTGGGCAGGATGGCTTAGGGAGACAAAATGAAGGAAACATGAGATAGAATACTCAGAGAAGTTTGAAATTTGAAAGGAACCTGAGGATTTCAGGAATTGGTAAGAACACCTGGAGAGAAAGCCATGTGGTGGCTTTGAAGCCGGGCCTGGGACTGTTAGCTAGCTGCATTGGCTACTGAACTGTAGAGGGAGGAACAATAGAACACAGTGGGGTCGTTTGCCAATAATTGGGAAATAACAGCATTATATTTTTATGACAGTAGATAGCTTCACCAGTTACATAGAGGCTTTTCAAACCAAACATCCAGCAGCTAAGATAGCAGCAAATATTTTAGTTCAAAAACTTCTCTTAACTGGGAGTCAGACAAAGAACCAAATTTGGAAACATGTCATTGGAAAACTGTGTAATCTGACAAGTATCCAAGTATAGCATAACACTTAGAGCCCAGGTAGCCAGAGAAAGACAGAACCATGCAATAAAACCATACCAATGGCTATGATGAAAACAAGAGATTACTGAGCTTACCTCCTGCCTTCTTTTGATTCTAAGGAAATTAGAGCCTGAGTATCCATTCAATAAAGATAGATGCTTTACAAGGACCTCTGTGCAGATCTAGGGTTGTTGGGAAATCCCTTCACGCCTTATCTTTTACAGATAGAGGCCTTGAATGAAGGAGGCTACTCAGGGTCTCTGTTTCTCTCCTCACTTTTTTCCTTGTACATTTTCAAACAAGGAATCAGGTTGGGTCAGAATTCAGTGTAATCGACTAGACCATTTTGCTGGTGGGCAGAGTCATTACACTTCATAAGACTGCATTCACATATATAGCACTCTCCTCTGCTTCCTCTGGCCGTGGTAAACTGACAATCCAGATTTATCTCCCCAACATGGCAGCCATGTCTAGGGATATTACCCCATCAGTCTAGGCCTCTTGTTTGAACTGGGATTTCTTTGTTGGGATTTTATATTTTCAATGGGAGTTTAATTTCTCTGTGGAAACGTAACAATAAGAGGGGTTTTTTATTCAGACTTGAGGCATTTTTGTATTTCTAAGATGCTATTATTTGGACTAAGCTATTATCCGGTGTTCATTGTATGGACCTCTTTGGTAGGCTAGGTTCAGCAATGTAGCCATACATACTTTAAGATGAGAAGTAGAATGGGTGATGGATTTTTCACTAAATATACAGTGTGGTCTTTAAGTCCTGAATAAAACCATTTCACAAGTTTCTAAGTATGACATCAGAAGCATTCACTGAAGGCCTTGGGGAGCTGAATTTCACATCTCTTTGGTCCAAGAAAGACTCATAAGAGTTATGATACAGACCAGGGAAATGGCTCCATGAAAAGGCTACAAGAACTCACCTGCAGATTTTCTCCCCTAAGGTAGACGGTCACATATTAGCTCAGCTATTGATCCCACTGGATTACCGGAGAAAGAAAATAGAGATTGTTAAATGTCCATGTTGGGGTTCAAAGATTCTAACTGTACCTGCTCCCACCCACCATCTTCACTGCTCCCTAGGAAAAGAAAGGCTGAACTGACTGAGCAGAGTCCAGACCATTATTAGGCTGTTTTCTACTGCACAGAACTTGGGGTTATCAGTAAAACTCTCTGGTATCACTTTCTCCAGCACAGATGACTAACTATAGCTATTCATATCTTGGAATGGAAAATTCCAAGGTTAGATTTTGGGCTGAAGTGCTCTGGAGTTTGGAGCCAAAGCACCAGCTACTGTGTGAAGTATTACTTTGCTTACCTTAGCCTCCCTTATAGGTCTTACAGAAAAGCCAGTTAAGCCAAGGGCAAATTTGGGTATCACTGGTCCCCTGATATAACATCATTCCAACCTTGTCTCTTAATAGTACTTCAATTTCACTCTAACCCCCAACAGGGTACAAGAATCTAAGTGCTAATAGTGGAAACAGTAAAAATAATGCAACCAGAAACATGGCAGTAAGAGATATAAAATCTGGACAATGCTTGGAGACTTAGAGTCCAATAGACAGTGGGTTGTTGTTCTAGAAGATCTATTCCTCTGTTGGAGAACCTCCATGAAAAGACTGAGGATGTGAAGAATGCTTACTTACATTCAGGAGCTACCCAGAATTTGCTAGTAATACGCTAAATAGAGTCTGATAGGAAATGTGAAAGATCTTGGAAGGTGGAAGAAACAACTCTTTGATGGTCCCAACCTCGTTTTGGTAACTGACATAATTATCCTGCATTCTCAGCTTTGCTTATTTGTTGTGTATTTCACACTAGATTCAGATCCATTTTCCCTGCTTTCTTATAACCTGACCCAGACTGATTAATTCCACACTAAAGTTTTATGTAACAGACCCAGGTTCATTCCTGAACTGACAGTCTCTGTGACAGAGGCAGTAATGTAAGACATTCCATATTAGCTGGGCATGGTGGCACGTGCCTGTAATCCCAGCTACTCAGGAGGCTGAGGTGGGAGAATTGCTTGAACCCAGGAGGCGGAGGTTGCAGTGAACCGAGATCGCGCCATTGCACTCCAGCCTGGGTAACAAGAGCGAAAAAACTCCGTCTCAAAAAAAAAAAAAAGACATTCCATTTATTTCCCTACATTTGCCAGCCCTCTTTCAGGTACATGGGACCACATGACTACTTTGGTGGCAATGAAATATAAGTGGATGTGGTATGTGTCACTTCTGAGCTGAGGCAGTAAAGAGCCTAAGTGCCACATGTCCCAGATGTTGCAGCTACAAAATAGCAGAGCCTTGGTCATCCTGGAACCTTGAGTTACTGGGTGGAGCAGATCCCTTCCCATTCCCACATCCCTCTGACCTGCATGAGATATGTAGTGTGAGCAAGAAAAAAACTCTTGGTGTGTAAAACCTCTGACACTTTGAGATTGTTACCTGAGCATAACTGTAATCCTAACAAATACAGCCCCCCTTCTTCTGCATGCATGGTGCTTATTTCATACTCTAAACTTAATAATTCTACATGTTACACCCAGGCCCTGCTGAACTGGCTCTATGGGACAGAAGATCACACACAAGTTAGCAAGCAAAGCTTTAACTGTGAACCAAATACACAGTGGTAAGCAATACAATTCAGTAAACACAACTACTTTCTGCTGTACAAAAAAACAGGAAATAATTAAATTTCTTATAGACGTTTCTTTATTATATTTTCCCACTTGAATATTTAGAGAATAATTTAAATGTAATGCATACTGACAGCAAGCACAGTATCAAATATTAGTTTTTTTAATATTTCTCTTTCCTAACCCTTTATTCCTTTAGGAAAAAAATATTTAGATGACCTCAAAGAAACAATTATTATGCTAATCACAGTATGCAGTAACACATACAAGCCCAGACTCAATAGAAAAGAAAGCAACAAAGAAGTGAAAAAGTCTTTCTCCTCAAATCATTTTAATTCATTTTTCCACAGCCATATAAATTTAAAGTATGAAACAACAATAATACAACTATAGAATCTAGGTTCTCTTTCAAAGCAGCGGCATATAAAACATAGAAAAGCTAAAACCTCAGCACAAGCTTCAAAAGAACAAGGACTGAGAGGATTTTGATGAAGACATGAAATGCACAAAATACAGTACACAAAAATACTAGAATGCCATAAAATATAAAGCTACACATTTCAGGTAGAAAGCATTGTAAAATATATAAAATATGCAAGAAATCAAAACCAAAGAGATTTTTCTTAAAGTACCATGAATACACTGGAACTGGCAATTAGCATTTGAAGATGGGAACAAGAAAATAGCAGTTTCCCAATTAAAACTTTATTTCTAGGCTTTAGGATTTCACCTTCTTGACATCCTTCTTTCCAGAGCTCTCAGTAGCTGACTCTGCTTTTCTTTTCTGTGACTAAAATGGAAACAGATTTAATGTTCTGCTCCAATATGCACATTTTAAATGGCCCAACAATGTTAAATCTAGGATGTAAATGCATTAAAAAAAAATTTTAACATGAATATTCACTTAAATGTTATATTCACAGTTAATGTTCTATATAGCCCAACAAACTATATAACCCAATGTAAAATAACCTTCAAAGATATTTCTTTTTATGAAAAGACATAAAACACCCATCAAAAATAGTCATCAAATATCTACTTACACATGGTATTATAAATGTACTCTCATCTCTTAAAGAACCACTTAATGTCTTCTGGGCAAAATTTTATTTATGAGTATATATATATTTTAACTTTTGATAGGTTTTAACATACCATATTTCATATCTTCTATGATACACATTTATTTCACATTTTAGCATCTCTGAAATCAGGATGCATCTTACAACTGATCACAATTTACACCTGGCAGCATTTTTCTCAGTAGTACATAAAATAATGCTGTGTCTTACAATGGAAGGCATCTTAGATTCGATGAAATATGGCAGTTTACTTAACCACACTCAAATAACACGATCTATTAAAGAATATCTTAAATATTCAGCTATACAAAGCAACCTGACTGGATTAAAATCAAGTTATCCTATCATTCAACAGTTCATTTATTACCAAGCCAAGTTGTTGTCTGCTCAGAGTTCCCATTTGTACTCATGGTTCCACAAACATCAGAAAACTTGCTTGATCAAATCAGAACTCCTAGTTTCAACTTCAGCCCCATCCCATCCCACCCCTATCCCTCTGCTACCCCCATGATAGCTCTAGTCTCAATCCAAAAGATTTCACTTGCATTATACTTCTGCTTGGATTCATGAGGAATTTTTTAAAACACAGAGAATAGTTACTAGGAAGTTCCTAACCATATGTTCTATAAACAAATAAGAAACGTGGTTGTGATGTAATTCTGTTTCTGTCCAAAGCAAATTAGCATTTCATAAAACCAGCTATTATTAATAGGTATCACTATGGCATTAAACATAATATAGGCATTTTGATTATGTAAAAAAAATGGGATCTACCTAAAAGTTAGGAAAATGCTGAAAATTTTACCATTGGAGTTTTAGCTGCCCGTTTCTTCTTTTCTGCTCTCTCTCTTTCCTCAATTTCCATATTTTCCTTCTCAATCAATGAAATCAGAGTGTTACAGCGTCTCTGGAATTCCTAAATGAAATAATAAAAAGATTTTTAATTTCTGCAACCCAATCATAATATTTAAAAGGCTGACAATTATTTAACTGCATGATTTCTGTGATACAGAATTTCCAAAACTGCTATTCTTCAGAACAATATTCACACAGGGTATTAATAGATTCTACCAAATACAAGGAGTGGGGGTAAATGTCATTTATGGGTGACTGGTTAAACAAATCATGATAGCAGCATATCATATAATATTACTCAGCAATAAAAAAGGAAAGAACTATTAATACAGTTAACAATCTGAATGAACCTCAAGGGAATTATGCTAAGTGAAAATTTTAAAAAGCTTATTTCAAAAGGTTACATACCATATTATTCCACTTATATAACATCCTTAAATGACAAAATTATAGAAAGAGAGAAAAGATCAGTGGTTGCCAGGAGCTAGGGAGGGAAGAGAGGGTGGGTGTGACTGTAAAGAGATAGCACAATGGAGTCTTGTGGTGATGGAGGTTACACAACTCTACACATGACAAAACTGCGTTGAACTGTGCGCACATACACACACACACACACACACACACACAAATGAGTGCATATACAACTGATGAAATCTAAACAAGCTCTATAGATTATATGAATGTCAATTTCCTGGTTGTGATATTTTACTATAGTTTTGCAAAATGTTACTATTGGGGAAAACTGGGTGAAGGTTGCATGGGACCTCCCTGTACATTTTCTTTACAACTTTTTGTGAATGTATAAATATTTCAAAATAAAAAGTTAACATATATCACATAAGCAAAAAAATATAAGGGGATGTTCTATGGTCAAAATAAGTTTTGGAAGTACTCAGTTTACAAAAGTTAAACAGATTTATTTACTACATGGCTTCTCAGAGCCTTTCAGCTCCCTATGTGCACTTTGAACCACTAGGCAGGGCGTCAGGATGCAGCAGTTATCAAAAATATTTAACCAACAGACTCTCTTCTCACCGGACATCTTGTGGGATCAGAGTTCTGGGAACTACATCACAGGAAACACTGCTTTATTTGTTAATTCAGAGCAAATAGTATCTGAAAAGATTTTTACATTAACCTTGCCACTACCTATATTTCACTGCCAGCAAATCAATGCATGTAAACTATAAATACTCTTTATGAATGTATGGTGAGCATTAAACATGATTCATTAATATGGAATCTCATATATTATTAACCCTGTACACTTTACTATATTTTAAAAGTAAATAATAATTTAATATCAAAGGATAAACAATATTTTTAAATGATTCCTTTTCTGTATAAGCAAAAATATCTGCCAGAATAGCTAAACACTCAAGAGAGAATGTAGGTTTACTGGAAATTAAGAACAACCCCAACACACACACACGCAAATGGTCAAAGTACAGGAATAGAAAACTCACCAAAAAGAAAAAAGTCCAAACATTAAAATCAAATTTGACAGCAACTAATGACCAAAGAAATGCAAAATAAAACAATGTCATCTTCATCCAATTAGCAATATGTACATGCATGTGTGCATGTACATATATATAGTACATATATCTAGTATTAACAATAAGATGTTGGAATGGAAACTTTCATTCACTGACGATGAAATGTCAATGTTACTATATGCTATGGACTGAAGTATGTCTCTGCAAAATTCATTTGAAGCTCTAACCTTCAATGTGACTGTATTTGATGAGGAGGCCTTTAAGGAGGTAATTAAGGTTAAATGAGGTCATATGGGTGGGTCCCTAATCCAATAGGACTCCTGTCCTTGTAAGAAGTGAAAGAGACATCCAAGATCTCTCTTTCTCTGCATGCACTCCAAGAATGGGCCATATGAGAACATCACGTGCAGAAGGTTGCCATCTGCAAGCCGGGAAGAGAAGCCACACCAGAAACCAACCCTGCTGGCATCCTGATCTTGAACTTTCAGTCTCAGACAGGGTGAGAAAATAAATTCCTGTGGCTTAAGCCACCCAGGCTGGGGCATTCTGTTATGGCAGCCCAAGTTGACTAATACACTACCTTTCTTGAAAGCAAATTGGAAATTTTAATGACAGATCTTAAAATTTTCATACCCTTTAACCTAACAATTCCATTCCTAGAAACTTATTGTAAGGAAATGAGATGTATACAAAAATTTACAAAAGAATGTTTAGTATGCAGACCAATAATAAACTGGGAACTAACTACAATTTTGGTAATTTGGAAATACAATACACAGACACGTATTATTATATACACACATATACACAGAAATAGCTAAAAGAATATTAACAACAATGTTAATAGTGGTTAACAGCAGCTATCTCTGAGAGTAGAACCATTGATTGATAACTTTTATTTTTCTCTTGACACTAGCCTGAATTTCCCAAATTTTCCGTAATAAACATTTAAGTCTTGGGCAATCTGTAACATTTTTAAGAACGGAAAATTGTTTAAAATCAGTTTTATCTTCTCAAATAAAATCCCCCCAAAATGGCATACAACATAGGAAATATAAGATACAAAATAATATCAACTATCCAGGCAAATGAATTTTGGGCTCTAAATGAAGCCCAAGAGGAGGCAGAAAACCAGAGTCTAGCCAGAAAAAAGTTGTTCATTAATGAATTATTGTTTACCTATTAAAAACAGTCTTATATAACACTGACACGTTCAAGTTTCTTGTGTATCTTCAATTACTCAGGGTTAAATAATTTAGAAACAATAATTCTGAAATTTTCCTTACTTACCAAAACAATAGTGATATCTTTAGTATGCAGACCAAATATTCTTCATAGCTTCATTCAATAATTCACATACAAATTAAACAGCATGTTATTCAATTTATCTATTATAGAAAGGGCTAAGTTGACCCTGATGAGATTTGATCGTTGGTTTCTAGGGAGACTAGATGGAGTCTTTATGTAAAGCTGATTCGTGAATCATTAAGCTATATCCTCTGGCTATTGTTATTCTCAATAAGTAATAGTTGCTTGTGACTGGAGATATCTTTAGATACATATTCATGGGTCATGTGGGTGATTCAGGAAAAAAAAACAAATACTTTTGAGACAGCCTCCTATGCAGGGAAGTGGAATGCCTCAAAATGATTATAAATGGACTGTGTAATTAGTTCTTATCTTCATTCTTTTTAACCTATCAATAACTACTCCAGACAGAAAACTAATCTAAGACTCTAGAGAAAGACATTGAGGAATGGACAAGTATGGGTGTTACCTTCCTAGCATAGGTCATATCATGTTCTCTAGTGATACCAACTCCATTTTTTATTCACATGCTTCATGACAGCCTAAGGTAATATATGTTATCATAAATAGAACACTAGCTAAAACTAGAAGTTAGAAGAAGGCTACATTACCAATAAAAAATGACTCATTTTTTGAATAATGAAGTGACTATGAATGACTATGAGAAATTTCATGTCAAAAGCACATTCTTTTTCTATAATTTCTCCTTTCATATATTCTCCTAGATTATTGTACCACTCAATCTTCCTATTTTGTGGGGTTTTATAGAGAATTGTTCACAGGACCTCAAACTGTTTCCAAAACTCTATAGTCTAATTATCTCTTTCTCTCACCATTTCCCCACACTGGATTTAAAAATGAAGTTGGAGAAAAATAGCACACAAGAGGAAAAGAGGAGATGCAAAAACAATAAACACAACAGAAGAGAATAGGAAAATAGCAAATGGAAAACTGCTCTGTAGCATTAATAGTTGTAGTGAAAAAATTTGTGGGTTCAAATGTGTATGGGAAATGTTGGATGTGTTAAAGGTTAATCAAATTTCTTTATGATAGGACTTCTCAGAGCTTTTAGTATTCTAATGCAGAGTGGAAGTGTGAATGGCAGGATTCAGTATCATCAGCATGTCCCAATTCTATCTGAACGCAGAAGCTACCATCTATTTTCACATCCTGACAATGTTTGGTAGAAATCAACCTGGGAAATGTTGCACAGCATGAGTGATGAATACAGCTAAGTTAGGATCAAAGTACAGACGTATCTTGTTTTATTGCTCTTCACTTTACTGAGCTTCATAGATACTGCGCTTTTACAAATTGAAACTCTGGGGCAACCCTGCATTGAACAAGTCTATTGGTGCCATTTTTCCAAGAGGATATGTTTGCTTCATGTCTCCGTGTCACATTTTTGTAATTCTCACAATATTTCAAAAATCATTATTATTGTATCTGTTACAGTGACCTGTAATCAGTTATCTTTTATGTTACTATCATAATCATTTTGGGGTGACACCCATATTAGATGGCCAAGTTTGTTTATAAATGTTGTGTGTATTCTGACTACTCCACCAAATAGCCATTCACCCATCTCTCTTCCCCTGTCAGGCTTCCGTCTATTCCCTGAGACACAATGATATAGAAATTAGGCTAATTATAACTCTAAAATGGCCCCTAAGTGCTCAAGTGAAAGGAAAAGTCTTACTTTAAATCAAAAGCTAGAAATGATTAAGCTTAATGAGGAAGTTGAGACAGGCCAAAAGCTAGGCCTCTTGAACTAAACAACTAGCCAAGTTGGTAATGCAAAGGAAACACTCTTGAAGGAGATTAGAAGCGCTACTCCACTGGAAGCATTCCCTTCAAAAATTGGCACAAGACAAGGATGCTCTCTCTCACCACTCCTATTCAACATATTATTGGAAGTTCTGACCAGAGCAATCAGGCAACAGAAAGAGATAAAAGGTATTCAGATAGGAAGACAGGAAGTCAAATTGTTTCTGTTTGCAGATGACATGATTGTATATTTAGAAAACTCCATCATCTCAGCCCAAAATCTCCTTAAGCTGATAAGCAACTTCAGCAAAGTCTAAGGATACAAAATCAATGTGCAAAAATCATAACCACACCTATACACCAATAACAGGCAAACAGAGGGCCAAATCATGAGTGAACTCCCATTCACAATTGTTACAAAGAGAATAAAATGCCTAAGTACATAACTTACAAGGGATGTGAAGGACCTCTTTAAGGAGAACTACAA